AATGCCGTTTTTTTTTTTTTTTTTTTTGGAGGGGTAGAAAATACTGTTACACATGATCACTGTTTCATATTTGGTACGGAATCTGACCAAATCATATGTTAAACTTCTCTCTCCCTCTTAAAAAACTTCCCTTTAGAAAAGGTAAGTATTTTAATCCCGCACGCCTCTTCGGCAAAAACATCAACAAAAGCCTTCGCTACCATAAAAATTGTGCACAATTTGCACGTGAATAGTTTCACGACAGCTGCCTAATCGTCTCCAGTTCTGCTGTTCCTGTGATGCAAATACCGCACGCTGACGTCTCGTAACTGTAAACACTTTGGTTCCAGTAAATACGCTTATTTAAGTTCTCGCTAGGCTTAGCGTCCTCCAGCCTGCAGCTGTGTACAAATTTACTTCCTCTGAAACAAATTTGGTACTAAATTTTTCTAGGACATCTTCAAAACCTTGCATTTCTTCATATTTTACAACTCACGAAGACGACACTGCATGCAATTACTAATAAATAAAGGCACGTTGAAATTAAATAAAAAGTGTTTTTTTTGGAAATCAAGTAATAGAAAAAGGCACAACGCAACCCCCAGAAGTTTATTTCAGTGCAGCGTTTAACCCAATTTCATTCTGCAGGTTCAACAAATCGAACAACCTTTTGAGTGCCAAAAAATAGGTTGCAACTGTATGTTTTACTAGAAGGTGAAGACTCTTTATTGTGCCATTCTTAAGCAAAATAACCAGGTTCCGACTGAAACTAATTGCACTCCTTTTTTCTTTCTTGGACAGGCGAGTGCAGCTGCCCCAGCAAGATCACCACCGAGCCGCCAACTAAAGATCATCCAAAATCAAACAAATTTATTTTTAAATAGTTTGACCGACTGCTATCCCTCCTACTCAGAATACGGCAAAAGACAAGTGTTACGCAGGACGACTGTCGACATTTATACCTACCGTTAACAGCAGCTAAACAGAGACCATCTGTAATGCGTAGTCATCGTCGAAACATGTTCCGAAAGTTGACTTTAGACCGATCTGAGAAATCTACAGTAAGCTACGCCTGGAACATAAACGTCTTCGGTGGGACCGTTGGACAATGCAAGTGAATTTTATTTTTAAGGTTTAAACTTTAGCCTGCAAACAAAGGGCCACTGAGGAAGTGTTCTGGTCTGATAGTTCGGCAAAAGCAAAGAAACAGAGAAGAAAAACTGGTGAAAAAAAGTTCTCTCTTCAGTTCTTAATTTCTTTATAGGAGGACGGACAGTACTGCAACGACTTGTTCGCATCAGGAAACGTCTGGAAATACAGTCACACTTCTTTGTTGTGTCCATGCTTTTATAATACAGTGTGCGTTGGTTGTAGAGACCATTTGATGGAACCATCACGGTCGACCCGTCTTCATTGAAATGTTGTATTTAAGTAGTCACAAACATCCGATACCGTGTGAGATGGTGCACCATCTTGTTGGAGAATTAAGTCTGGATCTTTTTGAATCAGCGATACGATACAGAATGGTAGGTAGTGGTTGTGACTGCCATTTCGCTGAAGAAGAAAAGCCGCACAACCTTCTGAATGTTGGCTGACAAGTGGGTGGAGTTGAAATATCGCCTTGATAACTTTTGAGCATTGAGGAGAACGCTTTTTGATGTTTAGTTGTATATATGTGTACATGGAAACTGAAAATTGGACTTTAAATGAAAAGTATTTTCTTCAATGGACACTGGCAACAGTTGTTGCAAGACCTTCTAAGTCGTGGACGGTTT